AAGGACGGGCCAGATAGAGTGCAGCGAGAACATATATATATATATATATATATATAAAAAAGCTCCTGCAGTATGAATCTGACCTTTTTGCATTCCATCTTTGCTGACCAAGATCTCCTTGTACTGAACAAAGCGGATCTTTTCTGTACATGGTGTGAGGGCCTTGAGGTGTCTGGTGAGGGCCCCTGACTCTCTGAAGGACTGGCCACATAGAGTGCAGCGATACGGCCGCTCATCTGCAAGAGAACAGGAAGGAAGTTGTGTTCTCATTAGGGTAAATGTATTTAAGAGAACATTAAATCAAGACAAAAAAACAAAACAGTCCATGTTCACTGTCTGTACCAGTGTGACGACGGTTGTGACGAATCAGGGAGCCTTTAGTGCGAAAGGAGGTCCCACATAAGTCACATGAGAAGTTCTTTTGGTCACTGTGAGTTTTCATGTGAGTTCTCAAGATGTTGGTCTGTTTGGTGAAAATAGAACGTATTACAAAGACAACACTGGACACATAGATTGTGATAAATAGCCTGCCTTGTATCATTCATGAAAAGGATTTCTAACAATTAGGAAAACTCCCCTCAGTTACTTACGTGAGAAAATACGACCAACATTTCCTGATAAAAGACACACACTTTATACGACTCACTGTTTTAAATGACTTGTCACAAAGTTGGCAAATGTAGCGTCCCTCTTGGGTGACTTTGTAAACAGGCTTGTTGTCACCGTCAGCATTGTCAGATAAGGATCCTTCAGTCCCGTCCGAGTGGTCGGTGGCTTTGAGTGAAACAGTTTTCTTCCTGCAACCTCGACCCAACGGGTCTGTGTGAAAAAAATAAAAAATAAATAACAATTCAGTCCCTCAGCAGATCCAAAATCTAATTGAGATAAAATGTTGATCAACAACAAAATATTTTTATTTTGACATCTAATGTTTTCCTTTGACTTACATGGTAGTAAACTAACTATCCCTGGGTTTGGGCCCGAGTGGGTTAAAATAAACAATCGGAATAACTTGCCTGTGGGAAATGATAATAGGCATTTCTTCCAACAACAACAACACCACATATCACGATTTTGCAAATCAAATTATTTGACAAAAACAGTAAGTTGCAGTCTTAATGTTGACCCACCATGAGTAGTCTTCAAGAGTTCATCCGAAGATGCACCGTCAGCTGTTTTCACCTCTGAAGAAAGACGTCCATTGGCTGCAGTAACCTGGCAAAATGCAGATAAACGACAACAACAAAAAACCCGATAAAATAACAATTGTTGTCCCTATTCTGATGGTAGTGTGCACCGAATATAGACCCACACGTCCCGGTTCATACCTCCTGTTCGGCCTCCTGGCTGTCCGCCTCTCGTGCCTCCTCCACACGTTTGCAGTTGTGTTGCAGCTTGTGCTGGATGAAAGCCTCCAGCGTGGAAAACTCGGACTGACAGCGTCCGCACTTGTGCACATCTTCATCTTAACAACACATAGACGTAACGTTGCACATTACAGAACGGGACAACTTCATGAAGTATCGATGCTGCCAGCTACCACCTAGCTGAATACATCTGTAACTTATCTGAATACTGCTGACTGGCTGGATTTCCAATCTGAGTAAAAGCTGCAGCGGGGACGCAAACTAGCTAATGTTGTTGCTAAATGCAGCTAGCTGCTAGCAACGTTTCACGATGGAGGAAGTTAGCTAGGCCCAAACGCAATATTTTATACATATTTCAGTGTTGTTTCAGTTATGAAGAGAGTTACCTTCATCTCCCAGTGTTGTCTGGATGGTGATTGTCTCGCTGCCGTTGGTCGTTTGCTCACTCTCTGTTTCTGCCGTATGATTATTTTCTACATTCATGTCGTTAGAATTCTCCGTCTCTGTCGCAACGCAGCTACGAGGAGGGAAAACATGGCGGATTTACGACCTCGTAGTCATAACAACAAAAGGGCGCGTGCGCGCGTGTCTTTAATCGACAGAGAGGAGACAACAAGAAAACTTACTGACATGAAATACCTTAAAAAAATTTCAAAATGTGGTCTTAAATATATTTATATTTATACATATACATTATCTATTTATATATGTTATGAATATTTCATTATTAAGAATGTTTTCACTTTTTTGACAGTGATAATACATGTATATTTTGCTCTTGCTGTTAAAATATACTTGAAAGATTATCTGCAGCTGTATGCAGCAGCTGAGATGTGGATCAGGACACAGTAATATGGAGATACTTTATTAAACATGGGAAACATCCAAAACCAAGAGCTTGCATACACAATTTTAGTTACTGTCTCTCCTTTCTTACAGGAACCCATGATAATGATCCATTAAACTATCATTTCTGTGAGTCAAGAGCCTTCATTTCAACATAACCTAAGTGAGTCCATGTAGCAACTTGTCATTTACTGAACAGTTCAAAAATCTTTTTAATGTTGACACTTATTTGTCTTGCAGGGTTACTTGCACAGAGAAACAATGCTGCATGCTTGATGCAATTTAAAATAAATGTGATATAATTGAAACAAATAAAAAAATGTACAGTTAGGGATACAGTTTACAGGGAAACACTTAAAAGGTAAAACTAGTGCCATTGGGCATGTGTTGTTTTGATTTATTTCATGAATACATGTTATACCTATAATTCCTCTTAATTCCCATTTATTTCAGGTGAACTAATTAAATCCATTCTGTAAAAGATGACAGGCAAGCACAGCAACATCTGATTGATGAGATGTTTGTCTCTGCAGGAGTTGAATCAAGGTTAGCTTTCACGACACAATAGTAAACAACAAACACTTTACGGCAGTGAAAATGGCTTCTCAGTTCAGCGGTGTGCTGCAGTTGACAGATCTCGACGACTTTATCACCCCCTCTCAGGTAGTTGAATATAAAATGTGATATCATCGGTTCCATTCAAAGAGAACCAGTTAACGCTAACGATTCATTTCACAGATAGCGAAAACGTACTGAAATAGCTCGCATGCTTCAGCTAACGTCACTAGCTAACCGATAGCTGTCCCAGTCTGTTCTGCTGTTTGAGCTACAAAATAAACGCAACCATGAACCCCTCTTGGTAAAAGCTAATGACGATGCAGTGTTAACTAATTAGTGTAACTGATCTCAAAACCTGCTAACATTTAAAACATCAAAGGCGTGCTACACAGTTAGCTTGCTGCTAATGTTAGCAATGATGTAACGACAGTGAAGGAGCAATGTTGGGTAATAACAACGAATACGTTTCTGCAGCACGAGTCATTGTCAGATAGTGAAGAAAATGACTTGAATGAATCTGTCTAGAAACGTTGGTCTAGTGTTCCCATCTATTACTGTTTTTATCTTGTGTATTATTTCTTTATTTACTTATTTATTATCTTTCCTTTGTTGTTATCAGGAGCCTTTGGGTGTTGTTATAACCTGCTGTGTTTATCATGTTCATAAAGAAGGAAATAAACCCAAGTGTCTTGCAGTTTGGTTTACACATGTGGTTTATGTTTCACAGGAATGTGTCAAACCTGTTAAAGTAGAGAAGAAACACGGCAAATCTGTGGCCAGAATTCAAATAGAAGATGACGGCAGCTACGTCCAAGTCAATCAGGTGGGTGTCACAGCTTAATCAAAACCTGTGTGGGATGTAAAATTGCACCACTATTTACCTTGATTTAATTTGCCTTCTGTTTGCAGGATGGTGGTAAGCAGAAGCTGGAGAAAGCGAAGATCACGCTGAATGACTGCTTAGCCTGCAGTGGCTGTATCACCTCAGCTGAGAGCGTGCTCATCTCTCAGCAGAGCCATGAAGAGCTCCTCAAAGTGCTGCACAACAACGAGGTAGATTTATGTTGTTGAATGCTTGTGTAGTATGTGTCTGGTTATGATCGCTTTTGCAGCTTTGGGAATGTGATAGCAATAATGTTGGGTGTCGCTGTATTTCGTCACTTGAACTCCCTCCACAGTCCAGCGACACAGATCAGAAGTTGGTGGTGGTGTCGGTGTCACCGCAGTCCAGAGCCTCGCTCGCGGTCCGCTTTGAGCTCAGCAGTAGTGAGGCGGGCAGGAGGCTTACTTCTTTCTTCAAAGGCCTTGGTGAGTGCAAGTGTTACCTTATCTTTTGAGCGGTTGATTCAGGCAGATACGGACACTTCTGAAGATTATTATCATTATCGCAGGGGTTCATCATGTGTTTGAAACGAGCTTCAGTCGTACCTTCAGCCTGCTGGAGAGCCAGAGAGAGTTTGTGGAGCGTTTCCAGAGGAAGGAGCAGGACGGCAAGAGTCTGCCCATGCTGACATCAGCCTGTCCAGGTATTCCTCTGAAACCCTGTTTTATGATATCAGTGTTTGCTCAAAGACATCTCTCACTGTGTGTGTGTGTGTGTGTGTGTGTGTGTGTGTGTGTGTGATTTGCTCAGGTTGGATTTGCTATGCAGAGAAGACCCACGGGGAGTTTATTCTTCCTTACATTAGTACCACTCGCTCCCCCCAGCAGATGATGGGTTCCCTAGTTAAATGCTATTTTGCTGAACAACAGGTACCGGGAAAACTGTACATCAGATGTTGCATATATATATTTATATATATATAATATATAGAATTTTTTATTGAGTGGTGTATTGTCTGTGTGTTGTTAGGGGCTTAGTCCAGAGCAGATCTACCATGTAGCAGTGATGCCCTGCTTTGACAAGAAACTTGAAGCCTCGAGGTCAGACTTCTACCTGAACGAAGCTGAGACTCGAGAAGTGGACTGTGTCATCACATCTGGTACAGAAACAACTCCTATGATGCTCTCTGTCTATATAAACGTGGTGTATCATCTCTTTTATACTTTTTAATGCTTTTCTCACGTCTCGCATAGGAGAGGTTCAGAAAATGCTGGAGGAGAAAAATATGTCTCTTAATGATGTGGAACCTGCACCGCTAGACACAATGTAAGTTATGTGACATTTTGTTTTTGTTAGCCATGGCATGAATCCCCAGAACAGATGAACTCACACACACTACATCATTATTCTTGACCCAGGTTCAGCAGTGTGAGTGGGGATGAGTTCCTGAGCCATTCTGGGAGCGGGTCAGGGGGTTACCTCCATCATGTCTTCACCTATGCAGCCAAGCAGCTGTTTGGAGAGGAAGTGAAGGAGCTAACCTACAAGACGCTCCGGTGAGTCTGTCTCAGCTTTAAGAAGCTTGACTGCTTTGTTGGTGGAACAGTCAAGCTTGAGTCCGGTACAAATGAATGTTTGTGAAGCTTTGTGTGTGCAGGCTGAGAGGAAGGGCCGACCATCTGTTTAAAAATGAATTGCACCAGCTTACTAGTCTTGTGTATAAGAATTTCCGCCTTGCCCGGTTTTCCCACCTCAACCCTTCTGCCACAGGAATAAAGACTTCCAGGAAGTGACTCTAGAGAAAGATGGAGTTGTCCTGTTGTCCTTTGCTTCCACATACGGCTTCCGCAACATCCAGAACCTGGTGCAGAAACTCAAGAGGGGGAAGTCGCCGTACCACTTTGTGGAAGTTATGGCCTGTCCATCAGGTAAATGGAAATATGCAGATGTGAACTTCTCCTGGATGTGTGCCATTGTTATGTTGCTCCATTAGTACAGCATATATTTTGAGTTGTATAAGTTGAGTTTATTTTTTTGAGTTTTTATCAGTTGGATAAATGACAAGATAAAGCCAGCATGTGTCTCCTGTCCTCTTGTTAATATTCAGGCTGTCTAAACGGTGGTGGACAGGTGAAGCCCTTACCTGGTCAGAACCCCAAGGAGCTTCTCCAGAAGGTTGAGGAACTCTACACGGCAGAGCGCCCCCTGTCGCCAGAAGATGACACCCGCGTGGCCGAGCTGTACCAGTCCTGGCTTCACAGTGTAGGGGAGGAGAGAGCCAAAGAGCTGCTGCACACTCGCTACCACACTGTAGAGAAGATTATAAACGGACTCACTATGAAGTGGTGAAGAAAGCTTTTGCTACAATCCATGATTTATTTTGAGAATTTTCAACAAACACTGACTACAGAACCGTCCAAATATGAGACTATGTCTGTCTCTCTTCAGAGAGAAAGAGAAGGGTTGTGGGCAAAGTGGAATATAAGCTGGTTTGATGAAGCCAATAACCTTTTAAACCACTTTTCTCCACGTCTAAAAGTTGTTGTGCCTGGCATGCAGAGCAAGGGCGTAGACAATGGACACAATGCTCAATCCGAACCAAGTTATGTGATCTTATCATGTGCCCCTATACTGCTGATTGTCCTTTCAAATGTATAAATAGTTAATCATTTGTGTGGCACCTGTTACTTTGAAAATGTTGGCTGAAATAACACATCATATAACACAATATTATCACACAATCACACAATATTATCATTCCTTGATTATTTTACCTTATGTACATTGAAAAATAAAGACTTTATTTAATTGTAGCCACTTGTTTTGTAAATTCTTTTAAAAAGATAAGAATATGTCCAACAGAACATCGATTTAAACTCATATCTTTTATTGAATAATCTTGACTCTGATGTTCAATTATAAGCTCTCTGCTTATCACTATGAGAAGAAAATCAGCAATTTACATTAACAGTGATGTAAACTGGTATTTCAACCCTCGTACAATTTATGAGTACAACATATCCGACTCCTATTTCAAAATACTGTGTATAAAGTGCAGAATTATACACAAACTAAATTCAATTGCATTTTACAGTAAATCAATTGTGTAGAATCCAACTGCAACAAGTAAGCAAGAGAGAAAGTACAGTATAAATACAGGATGTCTAAATGAAATTATTAAATGTAAATAAAAATGCTCTGGCAGTCACAAGGATACCAGACAGAAAATAAACATCAATAAAGAGTAAAAGTGGACACAAGGAAATTGCACCCTACAATACAAATATATTATAAAGAAAGTTTGCTTTTTTTCTCCCCAAACCAGTTATTTAAAGGGCTGGTCCCCCTGTCTGTTCTGTACAAACTAGCTGCACAACTGCAGTGTATTTTGTGTATTTAATTTATTTTACAGCTTGAACTTAAAGATACATTTAAAAAAGAAAAAAAAAAACAGTTACCTCAGCTTTAATGGTTCCTACGATATGGTTGTTTTATCCTTGTCCGGCTGTGATGCTCTGACATTATTATTCTAAAACTCTGTAATCAGACGGGGAAGTTATCGCGAGATCACCGAACCAACGTGTCAAATCCAAGACATTTTAATCGAGCCGGAAACATTCAACGATGATCGGTGATGTTTTTGAGATCGTACAGTTTTCATTTATTTATCACTTTATTATAATTTGTGTCTTAGACTTGTTTGAAAATAAATATATAGTATTTTAAAACTTTCTAAAAAAAAATCTGTGATTTCCAAATGATAAAGATTTAAATGCGGAGTCAAAATACTTTAATGAAATTAAACACTCATCTATCATTACCAGAAGTACTTTACACAAGTACTACAGATAAGCACAATTTTGAATAACAACCTAGTTTTTAAACATATATAAAATAGTAATATAAATAATAGGGCTATTTTGCAAAATTAGTACTTTTACAAGTACTTTTTGGACGCAATACCTTTATTTCTACCGACCTAAAATGTTTATCATTTAATATCATGCAATATTATTTGAGAGACTGTACTTAATATGGTAAAGAGCATTCGCAGTATCTAACATTTAATGCTGACACACCAATGCTTTGCTCACAGAATGCTTTTTATTTATTTATTAAACAGCACTTGTGCCAAATTTCACATGATAAAGAACCAAAGTAACAGCTCCCAAGCAGATATGAAAAGAATGTCATGAGGACACAGTCAACAATAAAGCACTGATGTGAATCTTCACAGGAAAAGAAATGATTTTTTAATCAATTTACAGACATTTTTACGTTTTATTACATTTGTTCCTCAAGCCGCTCCCTTTTTTGTATTCTAACACTTCATGAAATTGAATAGATTACAACATAATCCTAAACCAATTTTAAAACTCTAAACGTCATATTTACAGATTAACAAATGTATTTCTCATTTAAAGCGTTAAACTATTGGCCATATATTCCTTAAAACTATCACACCAACATGATCCAAACAAACCAAATACAACTAAAACAAGTTTATAGCCATATTAGATCCGATTATAATGATAAAAGAATTTGTGCCATGACAGAGTGAATGTAGAGGATCTATTTATAGCGGCGCTGAAGATGAAATGCAGATATACATTTTGTATTACACTAATAAACAGCTTGAAGTGTTGTAAGCAGTTGTTATGAAGCATGAATGCAGTGGACATCACTCCTTGGGCACCCGGAAGCCGTCCTTTTCTTTCCGGAGACTTCTCATGGTTTCAATCGGGGATGTCTGCTTTACGTGGTCTTGCACGGATTTCTCTCTGAATTAAACATCAAAGAAATATTAGTAGCGCTGTAATCAGCTCTAAACAAAACTACACAAACACATTTTTGTGTTGTAAGCAAGTAAAATATAATTAATAATTAGTATTAAATCATGCTCTACATACTTTACTCTCATAAAGGGGTTAAACGTGAATTCATCTGCCAAAGTGGATGGAATGGTGGGTTCTCCGTCGCTGCATTTCTCCTACAGAGATGAAAACATACAGACGCAAAGATGTTTGTATTTTCAACGGTTTCAGAGGCCGATCGTCTGATTGAGGCAATAATTGATTGGATATGACACATCAGTCGAGTACCTTTGCCCATGCCAGCTTCTTCTGAATGACTTCATTGTCCGGTTCCACATGACGTGCAAATTTCAGATTGCTGACGGTGTACTCGTGCCCGCAGTAAACACGCTGAAAACACAAACACACCGTGGTTAGTCAGTCTGTCACACAATATTAGTATACTTTATCAGAAAATTACATTTTCAACACCCTAACTGGAAAATGTATCACATATCTCATTTTAATCTAATCTCTGAATCTATTTTGTCTCATATCAACTAGATTCTATATCAAATCTTCTGTAAATTACTTAAATTACTTCAGTGGCATGTTTAGACTTTCAATAGTAACCCTTTACGCTGACATTACAGGGGGAGTTCATATATTTACCGTTTCAGGAGGCAGGCCTCCCAGAATGTCTATCAAGGCTTTGTGCATCTGCTCGGCTGTACCCTCGAAGAATTTCCCACAACCAGCCACAAACAGCGTGTCCCCTGCATGGGAATAAACACAAGTGTCGTTGGGACATTTAGAGGTTCAGAAGGCTGACTTGTTACAGAGGTTGCATCAACACTTATTGGTCAAGCTTGACAGATTTAAGTGAGACTTTATTTTCTCCGGTATATCCGAGCGAATGTGATCAGACATACCTGTGAAAACAGCTGGTGGCTCTGTGCTTTTTTCCTTTGTCACATAGTAACAGATATGACCAGTTGTGTGACATGGTGTATACAGGCATTTGACATTGAGTGATCCAACCTGGAAAAGAATGACACCAGTGAGCAAACATCCTCGTCATTTCAGGCTTATATTTGGATTGTAGAATAGATAGTTTGATGGTCCTACTTTGATATTGTTGGAGTGAGAAACTTTCTTTGTAATAGCATCAACTCTGTCATCTCCTCCGTAGACCCTCAGTCCTGGCATTAGCTTGACCATCTTCTCATTTCCACCAGCATGATCCCTGAGGAGAGAAAATGGTCAGTGTGTAGTAATATACTCTTCAGCAGACTCTTCATGCAGGTTTAATGGTTTCTCAGCATACTGGCATTTTTGGCTGGTTAAGAGTTTTCAGAAAGCTCTCATGATGCAGTAAACAAATGGAAGCTAGTGCACAACTAAAATAAAACATTAACTTAATGCTTACCAGTGGTGGTGAGTGGTCAAAACAGTTGTGAGTTTTACGCCATGCTTTCTCACAGCTTCCACAACCTGTTGAAAGCACACAAATATCAAATGGAAGACATTTATCAAGTGAAACTGCATTATATTTGATGGTTCTTTATATGTAAGGATTTGCTATTTTATTCTGTTTTAGGTCATCAAAAATAAGTAAACAGTACAATATTTGTCTCTGAAATTTAGTAGAGTTGATGTACAGGGTAGTATAGAATGGAAACGCCCAAGTAAAAGTGTCTAAAATGTTAGAACAGTACTCGAGTAAATATATTTAGTCACTTTCTGATTATAATCTAATCTAGCACAATACAATGCACACACCTTTATTGGCTCCACGGGGTCAACAATAGCTGCTTCCCTGGAGTCCACATCGATCAGCAGGTACATGTAGTTGTCACTGAGTGCTGGGAGAAGTTCAATCCTCATGCTTGCTTGTTCCACCATAGAGGACTTCCTCACTACGCTGTGAAGGAGGGCAGCTGCTTGGGCCTGGACTTCCACAGGTGCTTCATGAGAAGGTACAAGTCAATATTTCACAGACTGATATCAGGGGACTCTGTCACTCTTACATCATATTCCTTTAACCCTTTCCACGGACATGTTTAGGACGCAAGGCACTATGCAATGGAGGCATTACACAGTAGCCATTGGCAGGACAAGTATTGATAATTTAAGCTAACATGGCGACAACATAAAGGAAACAACGTTAGCTTCAATGCTAACTTCTGAATGACTACATTTTGTTCGGCTATCGTTAGCTAACTTAGCCGCCGCATAGATCTAACTGGACTGTTAAGGAGGTTATGTAATAAATGGCAGACAGGCCAGCTGTGTTCATGCGACTGTCCTTCCTCTTGAGACACAACAAAATTAAAACATGTTAGCAGTCCGTAACTAATTAACGTTCAATGAAACTACACAAGCTAACATGCTAAGATAGATGTTTGCTTACTGAAAAGTCGTAGTGACGTACCGAATTTGAAGGCTGTTGCAGCTCCAAGTAGAGTGCAGGCACTCCCCGCTAGTGACTTGAATAACATAACAACAGCAGATATAGCCTTATCACATTAATGTAAACCAGAAAAAGTTTGGTTCTGTACTTCCTTGTTCGTCCATTCGTCACATTTAAACTGCCAGGCTCTACCAATCAAGTCTGGGGGAGTAGATCGGCCATTATCAGTTAGAATTAGCAATAAATTGAGTGTTTACTATTTTTTTTAACGACAAACCTATGAAGATACAATGAGGTACATGTGGGGGATAATTATTTTATTATTTAGCCGTGATAACATCTCAAATGTAGTCGCTATAACAGCTTTGATTTGAGTTTTGAGTTTACTGTTTGTCCTTTCAGGCTTGCCGTAGGTAAATGATCTCGCTTCAGGGACCTGAGAGTGGGGTCGGTCAAAGTTTAGTTAAAACTGGTGCTGACAGCTTCAGAGCGGCTGAAACCTTCACGTTTCTCCACAATGACAGCACGAAATATAACTCGATTCTGGGAATGGGGGAGGAAGATCATTTGTGTCGGGAGAAACTATGCGGACCACGCCAAAGAGCTGAACAACGCGATTCCTACAGAGCCCGTCCTGTTCCTGAAGACACCTTCTGCATATGTCAGAGAGGGCTCCTCCATCCTGGTGCCCTGGTACTCCAGCAACCTGCACCATGAAGTGGAGTTAGGAGTGGTCATCGGCAAAGGGGGCACGGTCATACCACAGTCCTCCGCTATGGAGCACGTTGCAGGCTATGCTCTGTGCTTGGACATGACAGCCCGGGACGTCCAGGACGTTTGTAAGGCCAAGGGTCTTCCCTGGACCCTGGCTAAATCGTTCAACACCTCCTGCCCCATCAGCGAGTTCATCCCCAAAGAGCGCATCCCTGACCCCGGGAATGTGAAGCTGTGGCTGAAGGTGAACGACCAGCTGCGGCAGGACGGCTGCACCTCCCAGATGATTTTCTCCATCCCCTTTCTGATCAGCTACATCAGCGAGTTCATCACCCTGGAGGAGGGGGATCTCATCCTGACCGGGACCCCCAAAGGAGTCTCCGCCGTGCAGGAGCATGATGAGCTGCAGGCTGGGATCGAGGACGTGGTCACCATGAGCTTCAGGGTGGAGAAACAACACCAGTAGTGAAAACAAAAGACACGAATCAGTCGAAAGAAATCTCGTGGAAGATATAGTGTTTTTACTGGAGGGTTGAATCTAATTATTTTACATATATTTACAAATACTATGTGGACCAGCAGATGGCAGTCTCGTGCCATCAACACCATTATGTCTGACGCTGCCTTGTAAAATATATGAGAAAACGAACAAAACACAGTCTGGTTACATTGATTGATCTCACGAGTGAACTTTTGATCGGTTACTGTATTATCTACTTAAACCAAATAATTCATCACCCCATTGTCACCGTCTTTGTTTCCAATCATCCAGTGGTGGGAAGAAGAATTTCAAAACTTTTATTCAAATAAAAGATGCAATAATATGTTGTAAAACTATTTGATTCAAATGCAAGTTGAAGTATTGCTGTATCAGCAAAATAATACAAATTCTAATTATTGGAGACAGAATGGCCACTGTCAGTGTTTTATTATGATATCTAACATTTGATTATTAATGCATTAATGTGTAGAATCATGAAGTAGCTGGTCAAGGTGGAGCTAATCTTAGCTACTTTATATGCTGTATATACCAACTTAAATGCGGTGGTGGAAGATACTCAGATCTTTTACATAGTAAAAGTACAAATACAATAGAGTAGAAATACTCTTTTACAGGTAACAATCCTACGTTCGAAACTGAAGTAAAAAGTATAAAGCAGCATAAAATGGAAATATTTAAGTAAATGCACTTCAGTACATTTACTTGAATGTATTTGTATACAATCATACAGCATAAGCCCATCAGTCATACCCAAATTGTAAGGATAAAATTCATATAGACGTATGGTCAAACAATATATTGTGATTAAAGTCTAATAACAATATAAAGAACCAACATCTATAGCATTTTGAACTTCTCTATTTTCGCTAGTGTGTGCACTTATGATAAAGATATATAGGATGTTTCCTTCAGTCACATTAAGCAGTGCAGTCTGATTTAATGTGGAGTTCCCTTCACAAGCTATAATGTGAATAGAGTTTATCCCAGATGATTTCAAGTAGAGATAATAGTCATGTTAGAGAGGGAGTTTAGAGGACTGAGGGTTTGGCTCTGGCTTCGTGTGGTTATTTGTAAATTTGGAATACATTTAGCTGCTTGTTGGATCAGCTGAGACGTGTTTTCTTCAGAGAGTTTGATGGACCACGTTTTGATATTTTTCTGTAACTGCATACTGAACCCTGTTGCCTCTTCAGTGAATGCTGTCGGGGTAGCCTTCAACATTCTAATGTTCTACACCGAAAAGACTCCCAAAACTCCAATACCATTTAATGAAACTGTGGTGTTTATGTTCATCCAGTGTAATTTGGACTTTCGGGCTGCGTACCTTCATCATAACCACATTCTTCCCAGACTGTTTAACATCTGTTCCAGGTTCAATTACAATTCTCCCACAGGCTTCTCTGTTTTCAGGATCAATCAGAGCCCCCATCAACCTGTCCCAGGCCAGTCTGCTGAAACCCGAGTCTGTGTACATCATCTTCCCCACACCTGTAGGGCATGTTATCTCCAAGACTCACAGGGCCCAAGCCCTGGCCCTCAGGGGACTCCGGGGTCATATGTGTCCATCATCAGAACAGTTATGACAGATTCAATTAGATCTGGGATCTGGGAAATGTAGTCGTGGCCTGTTTATTAGAACAGGGTTAGAGCAGGTGTCGTTTTTATAAGATATGAATCATACTGTTCATTGTCCCCGTGTGACTGACGGTATTACTCCCTCAAAGGTTCTAACAATGGCTTCAAGGCTCTCGCTCAGCTCTGGTTTAGCGTTCACCACATGAAGCGATATGTTGTCATGGAGCAGGAGTCTGAGGAGGTGTATTTGATGCTTTTTGAGGGAGAGGGGATTACGTGGAGACCACAGTCTTCCGATCTAACGCACACCAACAATGACGTCACCTGTGACATGAAATCAAGCCAGGTGGCAAATGTGCAGCAAAGAGATTTTGAGGGAATTCAAAGTCTATTTTCTACCGCAGCCCACCTTGAGATATTTGAATAGATTGGCACAAACTGTGGCACAGACATTGATGATTCCCAGATGATGAATCCTGATGACTTTGGTGATCCCCAGATTTTTTTTATCTGGGGACTCAATGAGGTTGACACGTTGCTTTAAGTGAAATGTCTCAACTCCTATTGGACAGATTGAAATTAAATGTGTTGAACACATTTATGTCACCCTGAGGATGAATTGTCATCAGGTCAAATCTCTTAGGTTCACACGAAAAACAACCTGTGCATGAATACGTGCTTGAACATGTATCCGCGGTTCATATGGATCCTGAAGTGATTATATGAAGAAACAGGTAAAAAGAAAACATACAACAGTATACAACTGCAACAATATACCATCCTTAGATGAGTGAAAGGCATCTGAAGATTAAAGCACCAGCTCTTGACATGAAATGTATGGAGAGAAGGTTCAACATGTGAAAATGATTTACAACTTGGCAGTGTGTGTGTGCGTGTGTGTGTTCAGAAAATGACCATCCTCGCCTTACTTTGCGTGCTGCACTGTACGCACCAGACAGTGCTGCGGTGTGGCCATTCTTAGAAAGAAAACCACTAACACACACAACGATAGGAAGGACTGAGTCAGACAGGATGCATATGACATCGCATCAAAAAGACTCACTCTCACATGTCCAGGACATTGATTTTATTTCATTGTTGGAGAGGCAAAAGGGCCACTGTGTATGTATTTTTGTCTACATACTTGAATGTCAACGCAGTGCGTGCAGTGAGCGCATCTTGTCTTTAGCCAACCTTGGACTGGTTCTTCTGCATGTGAAGAATTACAGTGCATTTCATTAATCAGACTCGTACTGAATGAACAACTGGGTGGCTGGGGATTAATAATGCCATGGAGCAAATCCAGAACCTATTCGGTATTTATTATAAGCCAAACTTAAGGGCTGTAATTATTTTTCGTAGAACAATGAATGGGGTCTTTGGCAAATGAAAAGAAATCATGCATGAAGGCCAGGTGCGAGCCTCTTTCATTCAGAGTGATTGACTGCACATAGTGTGTTAACATTTTGTTTGAAGATGCAGGTGGAAGGCAAAGTGGGTAGTGTAACTTGAAACATACTGTAGGTTTAACAGGACAACACAGCGTTTCATTAAAACATGCTTCTTGATGTGTGTAAATTTCCAAAAATATAAAGATGTTGTCTTGTTTGTTGAAGAATTCTGCTTCATTTCTTAGTGTGAATGGTTTCCATCCATTTAGCAGTGATGCAACCTTCTCTATAAACTTTGATTGTTAAAGTTTTCCAATCAAGGCCCAATAAGTCGACTGGAGCTGGTATTTTGTTGGCTAAAATGGCAACAGGAGTATGTACTGAAATGTGTCCAGAAAAAAAAATCTTATAAAATCCTATTGTAAAAGTTCATAATTCCATATCCCTAAAAAGTCCCCCAATTTGAGTTGAGCTACAGTGACCATTTGAAAATCCCTCTACCCCAAATTATGCTCTCATCAATTAAAGCTGGAGTCACAATTTAACAAGATGCTGTGAGGCCTAAACCACAGGGAAGAGAGAAAATCCCCAAACATCTCTACCCTGAATTGAAGGAGACTGCGGTATGGGTGGAAAATGTGTGGAGTCCTCAGTATGAACCGTCTTCATTTGTGGTTCCTTAAAGGGAAACCACTTTTACACTCTAATCCTACTTTTATCTGTAGAAATCAGGCCCTCTTTCCTTCAACGCAGCCTTCAGAGTGCTTCATCCCTTGGGTGTTTCTGATTAGTCTGCCATGTGCCCGTTATTCCCAAATAAGAGTCACCGCTCAAAATATACATCCCTCATCACGCTTAATCTCAACTGGTCACAGCGGCAAGTAACTCAATCCACATTGGGGTGATTTTCACTCATGCAAACAAATCCACAATGGTAGGAATTGATGGCATGCATTAAATTGTGGGCTCAAATCCTTGGAAGCTGCATGCCAGCCGAAGCTAAACAAATTACTGTTCCCATGAGAAGGGAAGATTTTGAGTTTTGCAGACCTGTAATTTGCCTTTTAGTTGTTTTGCGCTATTGTAATCCAGAATATCCTGTATTTCAAACAAACAAAGAGACAAATACATTGTCTTTCTATCATCTGAGTGTTGAGTCCGACATCTCTTTTTGACTTTAAATGGTTGCATACGCGTTTTGGCTCAGAGTGAAAAGTAATTAATGTGAAAATTAAAGGACAAATCATATTCATTCATTCATACTTTCTCATTGCCTTTTCTTATCCTTTAAATGAAACAGAACAACTTTTTCCATCATTAATGCCCGGTGCAAAATGTAAACAAAAAAAGCTTCTGATAAACACTCAAAATGCAATTATTGTTTCATTCTATCACTCAAATATTAAACTTGACTAAAGTTGAATCCTCAAATAAATGCCTAATGGAAATGTAAAATAGATTCAGGCAGCTAGTGAGAATGCTTAGAACTGTGAGACAATACCGTACTCTGTTGAATCGAATAAAATCATGAATTTTGTTAATTGCCATTGACGACAGGGTCATAAAACATGACAGAGCACTGGTGGTTGTGTACCGATTCTTGTGGGAGCCACAATTACACTGTTCATACAATACAGAGCAATGTTTACAGACAGACCAGAGGGATTTACTGTAAGGCTCGTTTGTGCAGTAGCTCATTTTGATGAACACCAACGTACATCTTCATGTCTCGCTTTCAGTTTCGGGGAACGCATTCTCACTCATTCCTCCATTTTTTTTTGCACTTTCTTTCTTCACCTCAATTGGATTTCTCACATCATTACCAGTGTTTAGTGACGACCGTACGCTAATTTAATGAAACGTAACGATTGGGCTAGCCCTGCGAACACATACTAATGTCTTTCGCAGATGGCAGAATGGGAAATCAGTTATGTTTAATGCCTGCTGCTGGGCTGGCACAGCCAAAAAGCAGCTATCACTATGACTGGCACAGATGAAGTGACGCAAGAACATTTAAATTTTAGCGAGGCCCACTAAAAACTAATGCCAGACATATAAAACAGAGGGGGAATGTGACAAAAATACTGACTGGATTTAGAGGAGGCAAGATGTATGGAAAGAGCCAAAGCAATGTGTGTGCGTGCAAACTTGCTCGAATGCACGCACTAGCATGCTAATACCAGCAGCTACTGACATTTCCACAAACAAAGCTCAATGTTAATACTTTTAATTGACTATTTTTGGTTTTAACCATTGAATGCAAGAACTGGTCAGGCATGTTTCCATGCATTGTTAAAAAAAGAAACATCTACAGCTCAGTGAATTTTTCAGATCTTGTCAAGTGGTCGGTTCCTTTTTTGGTTGTTCCACCAGAGCAGATGTTTTTTTTTTTTCTTCTTCTTTTTTCCCCCTTCCATACAGGATAGTGTACAATGAAAGAGACAAGCTCTGCTGCTAATTCTGAGCCCAGAGAGGAAGGAGGGGGGACCTTCTGAGTGAGCTGCCATCTTTTATAATTAAAGGCCACGGCAGCACGCAGGCCCTCAGACTGCACATGTGGTCTCACTGTGTGGAAGTGACGAGCGGGAAGAGCAATGTGAGAGAGGAGAGAGAGATTTCTCTCTGGGGGCTAACGTTTTAGAGCATAAATAACAGCGCTGTTCTTATATTGCAGCGTAGAGCTAGTTAGTCGTAGTATTATAAGTATATAGAAAAGTAAAAGATCAGAGTGTCACATGTTTTAACTTTTAAAAGTTCCCTCATTTTCTTTTGATTTATAAGGACTAACCAATGTGTTTTGACAAACTAGAAGGTTCTTCTTAAGAACCCATAACCCTACAAAATAAAATATTTATTTCATGATGTGCTCCTTGGCCTTGAAAGAAGGTTACTGAAGGTATCTAGTTAGCAGACAAGCTAAAACCTGTGTCATCAATTTCTTACACTTTGCCTCTTCTTGCGTCGTTTTGTTTTTGCAAAGGCTAAAAAAGTCACTGGCATTCATACTGTACGTGCAGTATCTCTATCACTACAACCTCATGCATGCACACTGCTTCAGCATGTGGAGAAATCCAAAGCTTGACAGGCCTGCCATGCTAGTTGCCTTTGCTAAGCTATGTTTAGAGGAAGGATTTATCGGTGGCTGATCCTTCAACAAATAGGGGATAAGAATAGGCATAGGTTTCAGCTGCATGTATTAGATTAGGATTACTTTTTGAGGGACAAATGTGTATCATTCTTCAAGCAATCTTTTTACAAACATCCTCAGTATGCTTGATTAAATTTACAGTAAAAATAAATAACAAAAGGGAAGGACCATTGTGGCCTGCATCCTGTCATGTCAGATAAAACTTCACCTCACAACACAAAGCATCAGAGTCAGAACAAAGGTTTTATACACACACCACTGTGCATTGTGTACTTTATGGAATTTGAAATGGTTCAACATAATCACAGATCAAAACAGTAATTTATTTTAAGTGAGTAACAGTCGATACAGTTGGTACTGTCCAAGGCAATTAAAACATGTAAAGTGGCTTTGAGAGGAGAAATGCCTACAAATGAAATGTGTGTATGTGTGATTTCTGATCATTGTGACATTTCATATTTACAGATGAGGTATCATTGGTATATCAACTGCAATGTGCAGAGAAACATCCCATGACATTAAACTGAGATATGTAGAATTTCAAAAGACATTTGGAAACAGTAAATGTAATGAAAATATAAATGCAGTCAAAGTAACACTGCACATAATCAATAAGACATAGTGGTTTATCATGGAGTATGACATTTTCTCCAAAGTCCTGTCAATAAAAACATATTCAGTTTTATGTCTTGTCGTGTAATAAATACATTTCTTTCATAAAAGAAATATGTAACTGTTGTATTTCAAATCAACAGAAACTATAAATATCAGCTTATTTTATAAACAGAAGTAAAATATATTCAAAGGCAATGATTTTAACTTTCCCATTGGTACGGTCTTTGTTTCTAACTTCTGTAAAACATTAACATACAAGTAAGGACATGGTTTAATAACTAAGCCATGTGTGTAACTTCCATATTATTGCAGCACTGTGTCACGTCGGCTTCTATCCTCCAACAAAACGGTGGCAGTTCTCCTGCTGCATGTCATGATGAGTCCACTGTGGCAGGAGTCCGTTTGTGGACTTTGTATTCCTCTACCCCGTCCCTGAGACGATAGTCCTGTGGAGCATTTAACCAGTCAAAGTGACTTTTATCTGGGCTATGACAGGGATCTCCTCTGTCAGTCCCAGCCAAAGTCTTGTCCGCTCATCTGGTAGAAACGGTGGTTGAAGGGCCTGTAGAAGTCTCTGAGCCTCTGCAGGACCTCGGAGGGGATTTGGGGATGGGGTCTGCCCTTAGACTTTCCAAGGCAGCGAGGTCTGCTGCTCCCCTCGGGCTTCTTCAAGCATGGAAAACCTTTGGTCTGGTTGAAGTAGAAGTGTTTGTCTGAAACAACCCTTTTCAGTCCCAGGAAGTCCTGAACTCGGCCCATCTCCCCAGCCGGATCGGACACTAGCCGCTCGCCGCTAACAAACAGAAAATGAGACAATGGGAAGTGCTGAAGCCAGTTCTCCAGATGTTTGGCGTAGAGGCCGATGCGCACAGCGCTCCACGTGGTGTCAATCAGACCCGTAGAGGAGTTTTTTAAAGCCAGGCTCTGGAAGGATGGAAGGCCTGGGTTCTTGGACAGTGTCTGGGTGTAGTCAGATACAGCCCGCGTCACAGGATCCCTGACCACCACAATGAGCTTGGCTTGGCAGTTCATAGTGCAGACACGGCTAGGAGCCTCCTTTGTGACGAAGTAGCTGGGGGTCTTCTCCATGGTGATCTGGCCGTCCAGAGTCCGAGGCATCAGGTTCCTGAATAAAGAGGAGAAACTGGTCAGACGCTGAATTCTGATTCAACTCTCAAAGCCATGCAGAATAGTGCAGAATGTTTCACACTGTAATATATCTCGATGATTTAAACGCTTGATTGGTTGTGCTTCTGGCTTTCCGCATATGTTGTGCTCTTCTAAAGCAGTATTCACTTTTAACTTGGGGCAGCGGAACAAGCTGTAAACACAACACTGACATATTAACACCGCCATTTAAAGCTAACAGATAACATATATATGGCTGAAGTGTTAGCAAAGAGTTACCTATACACATCCAACAGACACACAGCAAAGTTAAAATCCATTTTGAGTTGTAAATTGAAATGTAAATCAAATAGTAACTCTCCTTTTAGCTCTGATTTTGGTCTCCACCAACTCCTGACACATAGACGTTTGTATGTGTTGACACAAAGATATTGATTAAAGTGACAGTAGCATTATTGCTTTATATTTTGTGAAATTGCACCATTAGGGTATGCTAATGTAATCACATGTGGGGTACAAAGAGACTTCAGGGAAATTACATCAAGAGTTAACGTGCACACATTATATACACGAAACATTAAAGCACCCCAAATGATGTGTGATTAAAGGTCCATACACTGTAGTGTGTTTATGTACCAGGGCCTCAGACAGCCCATTTGAGCCTCGCTGTAAGGCCTGCACAGCAGGACCATCCACTCACCATGGGCCCGATGAGACAAAACCACAAAGCCTCAAGAACCACTTAACAGCAATTTCCTCCAGATTTCCACCCCCGTCCTTTCTTCCTGCAAGAGCAAAGTGCCCCCCCCTCCCCTCACCTCCCCTACGGGTTCCTACAAGGACCCGAACAGACCAAACAGACCAAAGTCAGGAAGTGCAACCAGGATGGCAAACTGCTGAGCTCAGCTAGTGTGTTAAACATATGTCTGCAATGAGGAGAGATGTTGTGAATAATATGGCAGTGAAAAGGCTCAGATGCTGCTATACCGCAGTGATACATTTTGCATCGTGATATACCATCTATCTCAATATAACCCAAAACAATAATCTATTGATACATCTTCTTACACTTATGTTTGTTTCCTTTCTACTCTACTAACTGCGCGCATATGCTATCTCATAAACCTTCAGCACTATCTGGCAAACAGGCATTGTGGGTAACACGGTATTCGACAGATCCGGTGTTTGTTTGACGTTGACGGACTGCGTGAGGCAAAATTGTGGTAGATTTGGATTTCACAGACAAATTGTTTTGCTTGACAAACGAATGATGAGTTTAAATGTAATTTTCTGACACATCTTATTTGTCACTGGAAACAGAGAGCTTTCTTGTGGCTTCTATTAAGATAAACAAACAATGGAGCCCGTGTGCTTTCTTTGTTTCAGATTTGAAGCCTTCATAGAGTCCAAATGTTAATGACAAGAGGCCATTCAGAAATGAAGTTTAATGATGGAAGTCCAAGGGAAATTGATTTCCATTTTGGCAGTTGTTCTAGCGAGATTGTCTGTGGTCAAACACTGATTTGATGATTAATAAAAAGTAAACCATAGAATTGTAAGTAATGGTCCATTAGACTTGCTGATGTATATTTTCTTTATCTTCCATCTGAGAGAAATAGAGACAGGCAATGCTTTAATGTGTGAGCAAAACAGGGCTGATGAAACTCTAATAACAAGTACACAAGGCAGCGATTGACTGTTGGTTAGAAGCAGCATCAGTCAGAAGTCCAACTACAGGTTGCACTGACTTCGCTCTTGCTCTGTGGTCAAATGCAGCACAGTAACCCGTCAACAAGCAGCAGCCCGCTCAGTCATCACAAGCTCTTAACACTGGTGAAACCCACAGAACTTTATTTTCAATTGTAAGAGAGGTCTTAAAGGAATAGTTTGACCTTTTGGAAAACATACTTATTCACTTCTTGTACAAAAGAGTTAGATGCATAGAAATAGAATATTTCATTTTCGATGATTAGATGCGAAGATTGACAGCACTCACATGTCTGTAACTATATGGCAAATATGAAATACCACCAGCATGCCTGGCTCTGTCCAAAGGTAACAACATCCACCTCCAGCACATCTAAAGCTCACTAATTAACACCTTGTATCTGGTTTGTTTAGTATGTACAAAAACAAAAGTGTAAAAGCAACATGTTGTGGTTTTAGGGGGATTGCCTGTCGGACTATTTCTTGGCCCAGTGCAGCTACTTCCTGCGCCCCATTAAAAAAAAAAGAGCCACATGTTGTTTTTATAGTTTGGTTTTTGTAGGAATTAAACAAAACAAGACAAAGAGCTTTGGAGGTGCTCGTAGGAAGATTTAGCAACCTTTGGACGGAGCAAAGCTAGTTCCCCATGTTTCCAGTCTTTGTGCTAAGCTAAGCTAACTAACTGCTGGGTGTAGCTTCATACAAGTAGCACACAGACATCAAAGTAGTATCTATCTTCTCATCTAACCTTTGGCCAATAAGCCTACTTCCCTATATTTACACATTTTTATACAGTCATACAAAGTTTGCAAAGAGGACCACGAACATAACATAAATATGATACTGTCCGACAGTGTGGAATAAAAAAGAGCTAAGAGGAGACAAAAGGTAAAACTGCATTAAATAGTTTATAATTTGTGTGCTGTCTGTAATTCTGTATTTATGAAAAAGTATTTGTTGTCACATGTTCATGAGCATGAGTGTGAAGGAGGAAAAATATGCCTCGTTCCTGTGTAAGTTTTGAGTTTCTACCTTTTCTTAAAGTTGAGCCATTTCAATCCACCCCCATTAAATGATCCCCCTAATAAAAGACCATTAATTGATTATTATCCAACTACAAGAGCTGCAAATGGCCTATCGCTGCCTGTCTGTCCCCTGTTTATCTGTGTCTAATCAATACGTCTGTCTCTATGACAGATTATTCACTGTGTGTTGGTGCGCTGTGTGTGTGTGTGTGTGTTTGTGCACATATACTCATGTGAGCGTGGAGGTGTCAGCATTCACTGATGAGAAACTGAGCGCACGTATCCCTCTCTGTCCTCTCCTCTTTCATCCATACTCTTCTCGATTTGTCCTTCACTCCTTCACATAAGTGTCACTTCAGTAATTGACCATAAGTTGTCTTTCCATACTCATGAATAGTTAATGAAATGTGGCTTCCCCCCCCCTCTGTCCTCTGTCCTCGGGTCTCTATCTCCCTCATCACAATCTGTCTCATTATCAGACAATCAATAAAAGCCGTTTTCTATCATGAATCTGCTCCTGTATGTGGACTCAGGAGAAACTGTAAACAAATCAGGGATGATTCATTTTTTGCCAGTTTTCTCATGCATTTTAATGTGTTGTTATGTTATATATGTTTTACATATATCAGGTAAATGCCTTTCAGTAACTGTTGGGCAGAAAGAGTAACTCTGAGCACCAAGATGTTTTCTATTTAGCCCAGCAGTGGCTGACTAGCCACATTAGTCTGGAACTCCCTGCTGCTTAGAGGATGTAGCACTTTTCCTCCCTGAAGTGCTACACCACTGATTACACTACTGATATGTTCGAGGCAGTCTGGATCCGAAGATTAAATACTAACCCTGGCAACAAGGATGTGGCCAAGAGACTTCCTGCGCCCGAGATTCTCCCGCTGTACCAATCTGCTGCAGCGCCCTAACAAAAGGCATTCTGCACACAAAGCAGAACTGATTGCAGACAAAAAGATCCCCAAAAAATGTAATTATCATGTCATTTTCTAAAAACAAAACCCGATCTAAATTTCCATGGGTTATTATTTTTGTTTACTGGACCATCTATGCTAAACACTGTCTTGCTGAAGGAGACTTCTGCTCTGGCAGACATCTCAACGTCCAGACGCTTTTCGAAAACAAAAACGAAATTAATGAGGCTGTGGAAAATCAAGGCAGTAAAAATGAGGAGAGCAAATAACAAGCTGAAGGAAAACATTTCCCAGCAGTGCTGCTGTGCTCAGAGGGTGACAGAAGAAGCCTCAAGGCCACGAACGGCCCGTCAGGCTGCCAGGATGAGTGTGGGAACCTCGGTTTGCGCCGTCGTGCCTGGAGGAAACATGTGCTACCATTCTCCTCTGACCAGAAAAATAAAAATTAAACACAGAGCAAATAGAGCAGTTTAAAAGAATAGTTTGACATTTTGGGTAATACGCTTATTTGTTTTCTTGCTGGGAGTTAGATGAGAAGATTGAAACCGATCGACCTTCTCATCTAACCCTCCGCAAGGAAGTGTATAATTGTATTTCCCAAAATGCCAAACCAGTGCTTAACTTGGGTGCACTGCAGGGATAAAGCATGCTGGTTTACATGAGACCCCTTCAACACCCTGCTGACACTGCCAGTGTGATACTACCCAAGACCCCGCACACACACACACAAGAGGAGTCATCATTGTCTGTGGGATACTAAGGGCGAATGCCGCCATTCTGTCTATGTGTTCTTTGTCTGAACAGAAACCTAAAGCAAGTCACGAGGCCTAAAAGCGCCATGGAAGTTGGAAAGAAACAAAAAATGAACGTGTGTAAAAGGCAAACATAGCCTGAGGACGGGCTTGACACTGTGCAGCATAATAAACAATATTTCACAACAGCTAGCGACGCCGTCTGCATGAGAGCTAAAGAAATACTCAACATAAACACTTTAAACCTGGAGGTGAATTTCCGGCGCTTTTGCAGACACCCGTCAACTGTCTCCATAGGAGAGAGAGGAGGTGATCCCTCTGGGGAACCACATGACTGGCAGAAAGACTGTTGCCACCCACAGATTCTAAATACATTGTTATCAGATGATTTTATGGAGGTAGAGGAGGTCTTTCTCAACAGGAGGTTAGCTGAAGTGCTATACTCCCACGGAGTAGAGTGTTTTACATTTTCATCTTTGGTGATTTACTGCAGGATACCGTTGCAGTGGATTTGACTGTGTGTGTGTGTGTGTGTGGGTGGTTGGTTGGGTAGGGGGTAAAATCATGCACATGTGTGTGTGGGCTTTTCTATAAAGAAATGAAATACTTTTTGTCGGTCAATGGATAATTAGTGACTGCATGGCATATGAGGGTCCAATCATAATTAGGAGGATGTCGGTGATACTTTTCTGGGGAAATCAGTAATGGCTTCAGCATTTGACACATTAAAGCTTTTTTCTACAAAACCGTTTTTTTAGATTTAATAAATGAAGTCAGTCCACCTCTTATTAAGTGAATATCTCAACAAATACTCAATGGATTTCCGTGCAATTTAGTACACAAGTCCCCTCGTGATAAACTGTAATAACTAAAGTGCTCCCTTATCTTTTCGTGTATCGCTGCTGTGAATCTGACGACAAAGTTTCAGTACGTGACAGTTTTTAAGACTAGGGGCAAGGGACACAATTTGTGCCCCAAAAGTATTAATGCCCAGTCCCCGTACTCATACTAGTCTGATGCTAAACAGAACATTATGATTGCAGCTGTATTGGTCATTTATTACAGTTATGAGAATCACACTTGCTCTTTAGATGCGGATCCATTCAAACCATGTAATTGTTGATTATTTGTGATAAAAAAGTAATTGCTTTTTAATTTCCCTGGGGTAATATCATTGTATACCCATATCATTGTATTTTCTACTGGTTACTCCAATCTGAGCAACTGAGCAGGACTACCACACATCTGAAACAGTTCAGTTTGGACAACTGACACAAAGTATTTTCTTCACCAGCTAACTGCAGTCCGGAGCTAAAACGGCACAACGGAAAGCTTTTACAGGCGCCCCGAAATGCATCACAATGCGCCTGAAATTATTATAATTCCCACCATATGGGGTGTGAGTGTGGGCCTGTTCAAACCCTATAACACCATCTAGACACCAGCTCCAGCCAAAACCCAGCACCATTAAAACACAATACAACTCAACACTACAGAGACCACTTCCTGGTCTGTTACACCAATCAGTCGTGTTCAGCCTCTATCACTTATGGCCTCGGGGCTGCACACAGAATGAGGTGTCGGGAAAATCACCCTCGCTCTGGAAAACGCTGTCCCATGCGCATTGGAGTCCACTTTTACCATTTCAACTGTCAATTATCTAGAGTGACGTGGTAAGTGTTTGAATCTGAGGAATGCAGTGTTGAGATGACTTATAAACAAATCTCATAAGCTCTTAAAGGAGGTAAAAGATTTTGTGGCTTTATTTTGGAAGATCATCATTTTTCTCATCTGATAAAATTGATCTAACAAACTGTATATTGAGTAGCTATAAACGCCCCATATGTTATTCCAAAGACCGGCGTAATTCACCTGTTTTCATCTCTTCGTATCCTTATTTACAAAAATCGATGTCTTTTTAAGGACCAACGTCATTTTCAGCAGCGCAGTCATTTCTCTCTGCACTTGTGCTGCTGCCCTTAAATGATTTATACTACATTTTAATAGCAATCCGATCGGGCATGGCCTTTGGTGTCAAGACTGTAGGTCAGCCAATTGACAAGCTTTCAAAATATCGATGGTGCTTCTGGGCTGGTGTGTTTTTTTTCTCAAATGGAAATACAGAAATGCTTCTTTCCATAAATGAAATACATGGAGAATAGCTATTAGTGTTCTTGGATGTTAATTTGGATCCAAGGGCACACTGTTCATCTCTTTTTTTTAACGACAATGAATGTTTTCATTTTAACGTCATCAAGGAACTGAAGATACAACAAAAAAAAAAGACAGAGTTACTCATTCCAGCCCACATCACGGTGACAAAGCCGTGAGAATCACAACCATTGTGCCATGAAAAGCTGAGGTTTTTCAATTTTCTGCAGTGGCTCTCGAGTCCCATATGAAACCCATCACTCCATGAAGTCCCCTTAAAGCCATAAAACAACGCAGAAATTCATTAAATCTCTGCTTGATTCTCAATGCACTATTTGTGGCTTTTCCATTGCTGTAATGGGCTCTATGCACACATGCAAAGGAGAGAAGAGGAATGGAGAGATGGGCTCGGTGGAGAGAGAGAGAGATCACTCAAGATTAAAGCAATGGAAAACACGCATGAATGATGCTTAAATTTGTCTCAAAGAAGACAATGCTGTTGGAGCAACATGCACAGGGCGGCATTGCTTCGTCTGTGACGTGTCTCCAGCATGGAGATCACCAATATCTGACAGCAACTTATGACCATGCACGGCTTTCATCCATCTGCTGAAGTCGCCTATTTTCTGCTCATTACTCCGCCCAAGACATGTGGCCACACAATGCACAAATTGTTCTTAGATATGTTAATGTGGAATCATGTGTCGTTGGCAAAGGTTCAATGTCTTTATTACTGAAATGACTCGTCTACAACATTTTCAACTAATTTATGATTTTGATGCATTTGAATACGCTTTTTTAAAATGAATTATGGCTGAAGTACAAGCGCGCAGAGGTCATGAATGTCATAAAGTGGAATGTCGATAAAGTAATAAGGCAGTGTAAGTTAATTGGTGCTATACTAAGATTAAATTAATGATCCAGTGACGTATTTGTCTGCATATGTATCGCTGGATACGACCCTTTTGACCTCAGAGCTGCAGATGAAGGAGGGAACTTCATCAAAAGAAAATGCACAAAGCTCAGGGTTGCTTTTTTAGAGCCTGTCAAACAGAGCAGCCTCGTACCGAATCAGAGGAGAACGTATGTGTGTGTGTATGTGTATGTGTGTGTGTGTGTGCAATGTTAGTTTCCAGATGTGACAGTGAGTTGACCCGCTGTTCACTGACAGTCAGTTGACGAGGCCTTGCTTGTTCCACATGGATGAGCTCTTGCTGTCACTGACACACACAGCAGAGCTCCGTGACTTCCAGCGGAATCACTGTGGATCATTGCAGATGACAGCAAACAGATTCCCCCCAATTTCTGGGATTCAGTGACAACAACGGAATCATCTTTCCGAGATTTCACCCAGGATCACGTTGCTGCTGTCGCCATTGTTGTGTTAATCCCCCCCAACTCTTCTCAACCTGCAGCTAAGTTTACTTAAAACAGAAAACAGACTATATAAAAAATACCAGTATTTTTAGAAGATCACACCCGTCAGAAATGATTTAACTGGACCACCTGCGCTGCAGTCAAACCTGTCATCTTTATAAATGCTTCAGGAAATTTGGCATCACAACTACATTTTATATTGCACATTTTTCTTCTATTTTGCTTTTGGAGATATATATTATTAGAACTGAAACAATTACTTGACTAATAGTTAGATTATTCCATTAACAGAAAATAAACTACAAAAGCAAATTTTGATAATCAATTCATCTTTTATTCATTTTTATTTAAGTAAATGTCAAACCGCTGCTGGTTCCAGCTAAAGATTAGTTACTTTTCTTTGTCATACATGATTGTAAACTGAATATCTTTGGGTTTTATGCTGCCAATTAAACAAAACAAGCAATTCTAATATGTCACCTTGGGCTCACATTTTTAGTTGCAGCCCTTATTATGACTGATCTTACTTTCAACCAAAACTGCAGCATTAAAGCATAAGTGCCTTACAGCACCAGTCGGGCTAATTAAAACACACAGAAACACACATAAAACATGCCCTGGAAACACCAGGTCTGCCACAGGTATTTCCAAATAAAGACATCCTCTAGACTTAAAGAAGAGCAAGGAGGAGTGAAGCTAGACAAGAGGGGAAACAGAGGGAAAGAAAGCGGTGAGAGAGTTTATAAAAGAAGAGAGAAGGATGTATTACAGCAGAGGAGAGAAGTGTGAAAGATTAATAAATGGAGCAAAGTGCCAACCTGCATGTGTGTGCGTGATGCGTGTGTGTGTTTATGTGCACTGAGAAGACCAGAGAGGAAGCTTAGAAGCATGCTGAAATGAAATGTTGTGAAAGTGTTTCCACGTGTCCTCATGTTCTCAGTTAAAACACAGCTAAGAGGGATGAAAAATCCAAGAGAAGATTAAATTACACCTTCGAGTTTCATGCGCCATCATGCTATCAAAGTGCTCTTCGTCCTGTCAAACCTAGCCCTCTCCTTATGGCTCCTTTAGTACTATACAGTATGCACACAGCAGGTCAGTGATAATATTCTGACACTGGTGAGTGTTTGAGCTAAACTGCGATGTTCTCCGGGAGCTTGTAGAACATCTGGAGATGATCAGAATCAGCTTCATCCAGACCCAAATCCTTCTTTAGGGCCTTTAAGTACACCCAAATGATAGCTCTGGTCAACCTGGTCACCCCAAATCAGCTGCTGTCGCTGCAACATAGCCGATGCACATTTTATGTGCAACGTCATTGTGGCATGCAGCCAAGTCCTACACTTCAAGTATATCAATCAGGCGTATATCCTTTATATGAGGAAAACGTATTAGAGCAATCACTATGCTGTTTGCATGATTCCCACTCAGAACAGGGTGAAAGTGTTGATAGATGCCCCGGTGACGGGTATAAATGGTGTTTAGATGACCGTCAAGATGATGAACTGCTCCCCAGAGAACCCACCAGACTTTTTGATTTACAGTGCCAGCATGCAGGGAGAATATTGGCGCCCTGAAATGCTTATGTGGTGATCCGAATACATCGGTCTATTGACACTAGACATCAGCACTCCTGTACAGGTGAAACCACTTCATCTGACCCTTCACCCTGCCATACATCATCTCTGTCTGGGATGGTATCCAAAGATTTATTGTAAAGAGTAAAAAAAACTTGTCATTTTGGGACACAATGCACGTCGAGTTTATAGTCAGTCTATAATGTTTACAACAGATAAATGCTATTGACCCTGTGTGCCTTTATTTGGAGTTATGCTATAACAATTATACATATAGGAGAGGTGTAAAAAAAAGTATTTGCTACTGTCTTTCATTTTTTTAATTCGCTGCCAAAAATGAGCTAAAAGGCAACTTGCGTGTGCATGTGTTTGTTTGTGCGTTGCCTACCTGTACCACTCCAGTCCTTTATCATAAAACCTGTCGAAGAAGTGAGGCTCGGCACCGACCGCCCTCACGTCTGGGTGGATGCGGAGAAACTCCAGCAGGGCGCGGGTTCCTCCTTTCTTCACGCCGATTATAATCGCCTGCGGAAACCTCTTGGTCCCGAAAGTGTTGGACACGGGGATGCCGTTGCTCTCGGCGCTCTCCTTCGCGCTGTCCGGCATGTGGAGAGGCAGCTGCTGTCCCGGCGCCTCCACCTGCGCCGCGTCCTCGGAGGCTGTGCGGTTCCGGTGAGACGGTGCGTCCGGCAGGAGACGCGGCGAAACTCGGCGGTGATTGTCCAGAATGTCATAGTCGGAAGCTTGCTGGCTGTATAAAGTTCTCGGAGCCGAATCGCAGAATCCGGTGAGGCAGTAGAAGAAGTAGGTGAAGATCAGGACCATGGTAAAAAACACCGAGACTTTGGAGAGCACCTTGCCAAAGTTGAACCTGACTCTGCATCCACTACATCCCATGAGTTGATCTCCTGCTCGGTGCCAAAGGGCCAGAACGGGGACAGCATGCTTCTTCTTACTACATTAAATTTATCTCCCAGAACCTGTTGCGCAAAAGTGAGGTTTCACATGGAGACTGGAGAGCTTCAGTGGGATGATGGTTTTGTCAAAAAATATCCTCATAATCGTTGTCTCTTTTGTCAGAAAAGACAGAATTTAATCCCCGTCAATGAAGGAAGTTTTTGACATTAAATAGGACTCGTTGATTTACAGTCAGATGAGACTTCCAGCCTTCTGTCTGTGCGCTCTGAGGTCTCCAGATTCTCTCATTCAAGGTTTCTCCTCTGCCTTTCCTACGCCCTTTATTACACGTCTCCACCCCTCCCTCCTCCATGCTATAGATACACATGCTTCATGGGGACGTAGAGGCTCCTTCATTTCTATATGGCAAACACATTGAAATATATTTTTTCATTCATAACATAAATTACATTTACGCATTATTAGCATATAAATCATTACAAAGAAACCACTTGATGCACATTGGGAGATTTTATTTATGGTCGGTCTGTGAGTTAAATATGTCTAAAATTATTTATATATTTTCGTGGAGCTTTGCAAGATGAAAAACACATCTTAAGTACTTTATTATTAGCTACAGGCGCATCAATGTTTTACAAATGTAAGATGACCCTGCAGAGAAAAATCCTCCTTGCCCCTTTGAACCCATATGATAGATGTCTCTGTGAATAAGAGAAGCCCCCGAGGATGTCTATCCAAAACCTCTTCTCCCTGCACTGAACCAACACATAGTCGACATAGTGACAAGTCTCACCGACACAAACGTCCAAAACAATAGGCCTGAAGCGAGGAGGGGGGCCCCTGCGACTGCTCTGTCCCATAAATACAGTATCTGAGGCTGAGTGTGGCACCTTAGGGGCTGCACAGGAAAGATCAGTACCGGGATGTTCCCTCGACTCTGTGAAGCCAGAGCAGGTATATAGAGTTTCTTCATGGCAAAAAGATGGAGGTTGAACCTGAGATGGAGTTCAGACTTTGAACCTGACTAACACAGCAAGCAGCTGTTTGAATGGACGAGGGGATTGAGGAGTGAGGAGAGGTAGAGGGGAACTGAGGTAGATAATCTCTCTGAGAAAGAGGCGCACACACTCACACACACACTTACACACTCAGCCCTGGGGCACAGTATGTTTCAGACAGCAGACAGAGATAGTAAATTAGTCTGGCAAAGTTACTGTGTTTGCTAATTGGGAAATTTAAAGTTTAAATTAAAGAGTTTATTCAGCTCTCTTGATCTATATCCTCAGAGAGAGGAAAAAAAAAGGTTGTTTAAAAAAACTTGAAGAAAATTGACGTCTGTATAAATATATGAAGCTACCGCCAAGACTGGAAGCATGCAACAGCTAGCCTATCAGTACCTCTAAAGCTCACTTATTAACACTTTGTGTAAGTGTAAAATTGAAAGAACTCCAGGAAGTGACTGTTACCAAACTATGAAATAGAGGACCCGCTCCCTATGCAGATATGAAGGGCTCATTCTAGAAAACACAATGATTCTTAGTGTCAGGTGATTACACACTAATAAGAACATTATTTTAATTTGTGCCAATAAGTCCCCCTAAACCCTATACACACTGATCCTTTAGGGAATATACAAACTCTTCATTACAAAGCCCGTGATTGCAATTTTGGTCTTCAGAGATGTAAAACCAGTTTGGAAAAAAAAAAAAAAAAGTGCTCAAACAAAGGTCTCTGCAGATTCTGACATGACCCAGGCAAATATAGAATAATGATATGTTTTGAAGCACAAACAGCCATTGTAAATCCATCCAAAGCGAGGCCAGCCTGGCACTGAGGAATTCACAGCTTTGGAAATGACTGTTTGCTGGCTAGAGGCAGATTCAGTCAGAATGAGGTCAGGATCCAGGCTTTGCATTCATCAGACATTTTATTTGCTTTTCCCTCGCGCTAATTGCTCTAGTTGGAGTTATCCTGACAGGTTTGGACCCAGAAATATAAACAACGAGATTAAAGAAACAAACAGGCGGCAGCAGTGTTGAGGAAACAAATACGACATACAAGTTGTGAACTGTGCCTGTATGTACAGGATTGAGGTTGCGTAATGAGTCTCTCTGTCCATGTGTTTGTGTGCGTATCTCTCTTCATCTTTGTGTACGTTGATATGCGCTCTCCTTCACGTGTAGGCGTTTATGCATGCATGTGGGTGTTCGTGCAGTCCAGACTACATCTCCAACCGTGATGCCTTCAGGTGTGTGCTGCTGCATCCCTGCGTGTACCATTGATACAGATTTCCATAGACAGAGGGCCCGCTGATGGCGTGTACATGTGTCAGCCATTACAGCAAATTAGAAATCCTCCTCAGCAAAAGCAGAATGTTCCACTCTCATTTAGTAATTTCCAGTATGAGGAAGAAGCTGTCGGCCATTTGCAATAGCCGCAAGATACCCGGCAGACTCTCCTTAAAGCCATCATGACAGATCTTTGAAACCACCGCCCAGGAGATACGCATTCAGCGGTGCAGAGGTATGGCTGTAGTTTCCTACAAATGGAACCTTTTATTTGTGTCTGGAATGAGATTTAATGAAGTCCAGATTGAGGATGTTGGCTACTTTGGCTATATCAGAGGACATTCCCACTGTTAGATCTACTGTTCTATGCGGGGATGTGGTTATTATCCCAAAAACAAATCAGTTTAATGTTCACAGTGGTGTCTGAAGTGCAGCTACTTTGAAGGAATAAAGGATCTCACACACACTCTCTGTTATGTTAGATGCTCAATGGCTGAGCCCTCAGGTAGGGAGGCTCACTGAATACAAAAGCCAACAACAAAGCGTCTGTGATGCCCCACCTTCTCCTGGAGCCTTCCCAAACTTTCATCTGCAAACCTAAGCAAAGTCAGTTAGAATGATGAATGGACGACGAGACGGAGGGCTGAACAAAAACAACAACAACACTCTGATCTCTCCATCCAATGTTCTCCCCCCCATATCTTCCTCTTCTCCTCCCACTCTTCATCCCAGCATCGCGTCCCACCACCTTCGCACAGGTGCGTTGATCTTTTTCGCCTGCAGGAGAACTTCCAAACTCCCAGACTTGCCCTGCAGCTTTATAGAGACATCACTGAAAGGATGAATGTACTAAAGATCTGAGAGGAGGGGATGTTTGGAGCTTACGCAACAACTTTCAAAGGCCTTGAACGCATTAAACAGTGTTAGACCTGCATAACGCCTCGAGTTCAACATGGGAGTCATTTATAATGGAGGAAAAGTTTTCTGCAATTCATTCCAACTTCCTGAAGGTTCGATTTGGGAAGGACCCAAAGCCAGGAGGTTCATTAATGTAATTGATATACACGTATAGAGAGACAAGCCCACAGATATTCTTCAAATAAACAAAAATGCATGCAAGCCCTCCTCAACCGCCACACCAGCTGCACAGAACAATTTTCAATGTGTCTTTCATCTTGGCAATAAAAACCAAAATGCCTTTCCGGGGAGCAAGTCTGCGCAGGAGAGCCTCGTGTTTTTTTTTAAACTGTTATTTACCTTCTCTTTGCTTGATTTTAGCAGTGGAATCGGGAGAGTGAGGACCTAAAGAGAATTAAACTGAATGACGATCATGTCATCGCACAAGCCGCAGACCATTTGGGAAATGCATTCTTCTCTAATCCGCAGCTCTGCGGTGAACAGTGGGATCGTGGTTGGCTCCTAAGTGATTGTGGGTGTGTTGGGAAGGGCGGAGGCACAAGGAGAAGAGGGAGGTGAGGGGAACTTGCGTGTGCTTGTATGTGTTTGTGTCTTCATGACAGAAGACGAGTGTGAGCGAGAGATACACGGAGTGAGAAAGAGGTTAACAAAGAGACAACCGTGATTAGTTCAGTGTACAGTTTCATGACTCCCAGCTCACTTCGGGGGATTCACCGAGACATGTGGCTGCAAATCTGACAGAGCCGGGAAGGTGAAGCATTTTGAGCTGCAGTGCGTGTGTCTGACTGTATGTGTGAAGTCTGTGGATATGCGTGCAGAGACTTTTATTCCTTGAGGGTGTTATGCATGCTTCGATGTGCCTGTGGGGGCCTATTGTTCCAGACTGCGTGCACATGTTCCACTTGTGGTACCCAATCCCAGACTGTTACTTACTGAAATGCTTGTGGGCTGCTCCATGTGGCTTTCCTTCATTGAAAGGCCTTGTCGTCTTGAACGTTGATTGCCATGACGTCAGCTCCAAACCACAGCACTGCCTTTTATGTGTCACTGTCACCATCTATTTCCGCCCGTGTGTGGAAAACAACTTTCTTTCCATCTTTGCGCTCCACTGACACGGACGGTTGGATCGAACACTGTGCTACTGTTACTGGGCCAGAACCGCCACCCAAATGGAAGGGCTCGTTAATTTTCACACTCACTCGTCTTATTCGAAACAATCAGACGGGCTAAAGATGCGTGTGAACGAGCAACTGGGACACTGTCTCATTAGTTAACTGGGAGCTGTGCATTCATTCATGTAAACAAGTCAAACCTGGACGATCTCTGTAAATAAAAAACATTCATCGGATGGGTGTGAACTGACTGTAATTACTGGTGTAATACCACAGCAGTTTGTCTGTCCACTCCCTGGAGTTTCCCATGTTTTTTCGAATTCCAACTTGTCCCATCGACTGTGAGAAAAGAGAGCTGTCATCCTAAAGAAAAACAGAAAATAACCTGCTCTGTCCATTGCCTCACCGTTGAGTCAGGTCTGCTAAAATAGTATCACCTGTCCTGTGAGATCCTGCAGGCCAGTGTGTGTGTATGTGTGTGTGTCTGTCTGTCTGTGTCTGTGTGTGTCAAACTGTTTCATGCTGCAGAAACAGGAGATGGGCTTCTACCCTGTGGGGCCAGTCTGCATTTCACAGGAATGCAAAATCATATGCGACTCAAACAAGCAAACCATCAGTGAGGGTGCTGACGGTTGTTTTGGCCAAAGGGGACAGGAGTGGAGCAAAT